AAAAATAGTGACCAGCAAAGTTGCACATTAGGAAGCCTGGATGACTTATTTTCTTAATTTCTTTTATTCGAAGATTCAGAGTGGATAAACATGGTTAAGTCATTAAGGATAAGTACGCATTAAATAAGAGACAATAAAAGCAGCTAAACAAACCTCTTCAAACGTTAAATTGACGTTGATTTCCTTCGTAGAATTGAAGCCGAATATGTTTTCAGTAAATTCTTTGTCACCAGAAGCCCATTCTTTAAAAGAGAACTCACTATTCTGAAATATTTTGCGGAACAGTTCTTCGGGGTTGATGGATGAATGAAAGTTGAAGTCCTGTTGAAAACCTCCCCCGCTACTCTGGTTACTCGAGGAACCAAAAGAGTCGTACTGTCTTCTTTTAGCTTCATCACTAAGGACCTAAAATTCAATGAACAATTGGCAGAAACCTCATAGGCTTCACTAACTTCCTGAAACTTCGCTGCAGCAGATTTATCATTCTTATTTACATCAGGATGATATTTTTTTGCCAACTATGTTTACTTAAATAGATAAACCAGGTTACCTGAAAGTAGGCTTTTTTTATATCGGCTTGTGAGGAGTTTTTTGATACCCCAAGTATACTGTAATAATCCTTCGACATGAGCAAAAACGATGTATGCACTCCCCGATAAAGAGGTGCCGTTTTTGCGACTAAAGAGAAATAAGTTAAAGCGAAAAAAACAAACAGTGTCTGAGGAAACCAACACCAGTGGAGAGGGCCATGCTCAGCGATCAAGAGTTGCGGCCCAATGTTGGGAGATAAAATATAAATTAATATCAAATTTTATAAGTAAATGCAAATTTTAAGCATTAAATGTAAGAATTTTATAAATTAAGTTTTTAGTTTTTATTTGCTTAATTACCAGCAATTTGGAATTACCTGGGCGAGGTTTTTGTTTGCCCTATCGTCTCCTCTTTATCTATATTTACGTCAGTCCACGATCCCCTCTCGCGATGTCTTATATGCTTCCACATCTCACTAATGGTTGGCAAGTGGATCAGGCTATACTTTCTGAAGAGGATCGAGTCGTCGTTATTCGTTTTGGACATGATTGGGATCCGGCTTGCATGGTCATGGATGAGACAATGTATAAGGTTGCCGAGAAAGTAAAGAATTTTGCTATCATGTATTTAGCAGACATTTCAAGGGTGCCAGACTTCAATAAAATGTACGAACTATACGATCCATGCACTACAATGTTTTTCTATCGTAACAAGCATATCATGATTGATCTTGGTACCGGGAATAATAACAAGATTAATTGGGCAATTGAAGATGCCCAAGAATTCATAGATATAATTGAAACTGTATATCGTGGTGCTCGAAAAGGCAGAGGATTAGTAGTTTCTCCGAAGGATTACTCAACGAAATACAGATATTGACGATTCCATATTTTTGTGTGCAAGTATATGACGATAAGTCCATACTCTTGGTTGATGCAATGAGTTCAATATATTTTTAACCATTTTCTTTCATTTTACCCTAAATTATGTTCTTGGTATGTTGACAACTCGTTTTCGTGGAAGTAG